CATTACCTACCTTTAATATGTAACTTTAAAGGAAATCCTGAAATGTGACAATTTCCTTTCCATACTTGATCCATATCCTTATTACCTGCAACTTATTCCTCAATTAAAACATGTAATTTAATGCTCCTCTCCTGCTGGACTTTTGTTAAGCAACAGTTTTAAGGACAATATTTCTTAAAAGTTTATTAAAATTTGAAAGCTACCTTTAAATCTTCAGTTAAAATAAACAAGACTAGCACCTTTCTTTGGACACTCCCTTTACAACATACTTAAAGTCAAAAGGCTTATAGAGAAAATCTTTGTAATTCTGTTAATTATTGGCTCGAATTTTTTCATGTGTTTTCTTCAATACTTTAAAATAGTTTCTCAGAAATCTCTACTGAAAATAAGAGGCCAATATTTACTAGTTGGTGTGTGTGTGTGTGTGTGTGTGTGTGTGTGTGTGTGTGCTCTCCTCTATGTAACTCCCATTGCCATTATTGTCTTGAGAAATCCCTTCATCTAATAAAGAGCTTATCATGTAGAGTTTTGAACCTGAACACCTAATACCATAGGTGATTGTGATTAATTCCTTTCTGAACCCATGAGGTCTGAATTAGCACTGCAGACATGGCAGGTTTCCAAAAACACAGTTCCAAGAGTCCCAGGTGTGATTTTTTCAACCTAAAAAGTAGAGTTTTAAAAAACATCATTTTAGGGGCTAACTATATGGTTCAGCAATAAGATACTGTCTGTGCAGGAATGAAGACCTAAATTCAGGTCCCCAGTACCCACCTAAGAGCAAAGCAAGGAGGGGCAGATCCCATGGGCTTCTAACAAGCCAGCAAAGTGCAGATCAATGAGAGACTCAATTTCAAAAATAAGTTGGAGAACCAACTAAAGACACATTCTAATGTCAACGTTGACCTCCATTAAAGGCTCTACACGCATAGACACACACACACACACACACACACACACACACACCCTGCTTTGCAGCTACACTGACATACAATGTTTTAATTTCTTAGCAAGTAGCTCCAGTTAGCTGAATATTCTTTAATGTTTGTGTTATGTTTGCTCTTACATTGGGATTCATAAATGAAAATTTTTCTAGTCTCTAAACATAAAGTATTTTTAAACATATTTATTGTGTTGGGTCCTGGGGACCTACTTGCTGTATTCCCTCTCTGGTGGAACTTCTCTGGATCCAGTTGTTCAGAAGTGCTTTTTCCCATATGTTATCCTTTTGAGATGCTTCCATAAGAGACTTAGATTTTGCCAAGTAAAGCTGGCAACGGTTTGAGTAGATTTGGACTTTCATATTTTATCTGTAAATTTCATTTAAAATTCACACATTTGCCACAACATATTAATTTTAATGTAAGTAGTATTGCAAGTTATATATTTTAGGTAAAATGTTCAATTCAATAAAATATGGCATGTTTATACTTGACAAATATACCTACAAACTTTCAAAAGATGAGTTTTTTTTTCATCTAAACTTGGAAGAAACAATTTTAATGCCACCAAGGGCAACCTCTCTATATGCACCCTTCTTCAATTTTCAAATAAGTATGCTGTGTCCAGGGTTTGGGTCAGTTAAGAAAGCACTTGCTAGGCATGGAAAAGGCTCTATGCCCCATCTCTAGTACACACACGCATGTGATGTGCACACACACACACACACATGCACAAGCACACACACATATATGCATACACACAGACACAGGGACACACAGGCACACATACTGCAGGTTTGAATCTGAAAGCATTTGTGCCCCTTGCAGTAGATTTTGCTTTTTCAAATTTAGAAATTTAGGATTTGATGCAAATGTGAATTACAGAAATCAATATGCAAACTATAGACTGTTGTATATTGAATAGTTGGAGACTGGTAGTTGGTACATACAACCATGTGCCCGTTGAGTGATTATAATAGACCACTGACTAACTAAGCAGGCACAAATTTTCAGAGGAGGATGGTCCTCATTTAGTTTCTAATGCTGTTCTAAACATTGCAGCCTAAAGGCACTTGGGAGGGTAAGGGTTTTGTTTGGCATACAGATGTTTGGTTGTTGTCCCTTGGAGGCCTGTTCTTTTCTAAAGAAAAATGGAAAGTGACTGGATCCCAGGGAGAGGGTAGGGGGGATATATGGGAGGAATGGAAACTGTGGTCAGTATGTGTGCTATGAGAGAATCAACTATTTTAATAATGAATAATAACAATAATAAGAAAAAGAATATGTCTAATAGGCATGACCACAGACCAAACACATTCAATAGTTTCTCAATAAAGGTTGCCTCTTAACAGGTGTGTTGAGTTGATAGCCAAAATTGTCCATCACAAGGAGACTCTAACATACCCTCATTAAGGTAGCATGTGAGTTGGTCATTACATTGTACAAGGTCATGGCTGAGACACAGGGAAACAGAACAATATGGAAAGGTTGTACCTTGACAGAACAGACAAAAGAATCAGTCTAAGGCCTTTTCGGGAATACACGAATGAGTTTTACTAGTCAGAGAGTGTACATGTAACATACAGAACTAGAACAAGTAAGGTAGGATAGATTCTTGTTTTGAAAGATTCTGCATCTTTATAAATTTACACAATGGAGTACTATTCAGTGGAAAATGATAATGGAATCTTGAAATTTGCAGGCAGATGGATGGCACTAGAAGAAACCATCCTGAGTGAGGTAACCCAGTCACAAAAAGACAAACATGGTATTTACTCACTCATATATGGATTTTAGACATGGATCAAGGGAGTGCCAGCCTACAATCCTACTGCCAGAGGCTCTAGGAAACAGAGCCTAAATCTACTAACTAATGAAATCAGAGGCAGACACCCACAGCTAAACACTGTACTAAACTCCTGGAATCCAGTGACAGAGAGGGAGGACTGATGATCAAAGGAGTCAACACTGGGCTGGTGAAACCCACAGAGACAGCTGACCTGCACAAGGGGGAGTGATAGCTGGGAGGCCAGCATGGGACTGATCCAGACCCCCTGGATGTGGGCATCAATGAGGAGGTCTAGGCAATCTATGGAGCCTTGGGTAGAAGATCAGTATTTATCCCTGGCATACAAATTGACTTTGGGTGCCCATCCCACAATGAGGCATGCTGTCCCAGCCTGGACTCTTGGGGGAAGGCCTAGGCTCTGCCCAGGATGAAATGACAGACTCTGGAGATCCCCCATGGAGGGGCTTCACCCTCCCTGGGGATTGGAGTTGGGACTGGATAGGTGGCTGGGGGGCCTGGTATGGGGGTGGGGAAGAAGGAGAGGGAGGAGCTGGGATTGACACATGAAGCAAGGTTGTTTCTAATTTAAATAAAAAATATCATGGCAAAAAAATTAATTTTATTTTATGTTCATTGGTTCACACCAATGAACCATTTTAAAAGATTATAGTATGAAAATGTACAGAAAAAGGCATGAGGAAGGCTTAAAAGAAAACGATAAGAGGTAATTATGAGACCAAAAACTGTCGATTGTCAGACAGAAATCAGTGAGATTTCTTTTGTGTATTATTATTGTTTTGAGACAGGGTTTCTCTGTGAAGACCCCCTGGCTGTCCTAGAACTTGCTTTGTTGACCAGGCTACTAGTGATCTTCAGAGTACTCCTCCCTAGTGCTGGGACTAGCAATGTGCCTCTCCACTGCTGGCTTCTGAAGTTATATTACCATCATGATGAAATAGTTTCTATACCCACAAACATGAATTCAAAGATAACCAGAGAAACTTCAGTGTTGTAGATTTGATATTAAGGAATTATTATCAATTATATTATATATTATGGGATAGTTGCTATGTTTTACAATATGCTAAAAACAGAAATGCATAATTAATTTCATTGTCAATTTACAAATTGATCTAACATATTTCCTGTGCAGGTGCTTAGAAGCTTGCTGCATGAATAATTAGTACACTTTCTCCTTCTGTTTTTAGGTGTTCACTCACTTTTCAGCAATGGTGATTTGTATTACTGGAGTTCTTACATATACCAAGAAATGTACCAAATAATAGAAGCTAAACAATAAATGGAATGAAACCTAAATATATTTACATAATAATGGTCAGTAGAATCTATGTAACAATATGAATGATGTGCAACAGATGGATTTCCTAACCCTGTCAGCAAATATTCAATAAAATTTGTTAATAAATATTTGTAAAAGTGTACTTATATGTGTTGTATTTTAAGAAAAGCAGCTCAAGAAAGAAAGACACCATGCAACAGGAATCAAACAGAGGGATTTTTATTAGGGAAAGGGATCAGAAAAGGGGAAAAGGAGAAGGGGGAGACTGGCCTGTGGGGACAGGAGCAACACAAAAAAGAAAAGAGGGGAAAGAGAGAGAGAGAGAGAGAGAGAGAGAGAGAGAGAGAGGGAGGGAGGGAGGGAGGGAGGGAGGGAGGGAGGGAGGGAGGGAGGGAGGGAGGGAGGGAGGGAGGGAGGGAGAGAGAGAGAACTGTTAATCACAGCAATCTTTAATAGCCAGAACCTGGAAACAACTTAGACGCCACTTAACCAACATTTACACAATGGAGTACTACTCAGCAGAGAAAAAAATGATCTCATGAAAATCACAGGTAAATGAATGAACCTAGAAAAAAGTCATCCTGAGTGCAGTAATCCAGATCCAGGAAGACAAACATGGTATGTACTCACTCAAAACTAGATGTTAGATTTAAAGCAAATGATAACCAGGATAACTTCTTCTTCACTGAAAATTCCAAAGCCTGCACAAGTCCATAGAAAGCACTGTATAAACTGCGTAAAATATTTTATACAGTAAAAAGGTAGATGTCAAATACAATGGATGTTAGATAAAGGTGACCATGAAGAAAAAGTTCATGAGAAATAATTTAGATTTTTTTCAAATATTTGAATTGAAATAAAATGTGTCATGTTCCCTACCTCTCTTTCCTCCCTTCAACCTCTCTCAGACAGCTCCATACAACCTCTCCCACCTCCTTTCTCAGAGCTCTATAGAGAATATACCTTGTGTTCTAGGAACTCCAAAGACAGTGGTTTCTTGCTTAAAATAGGAAATCGTGGTAGCATAAGGTGCAGCAGCAACTCACCTGAAAATGTGTGGCACATGCTGCTTTGATAAGAAAGGCTTAGTTGCAGGGAAGAAACAAGGAGACCTGTAAGTGGACTAGACAGACACTAACACACATATTTATCAGTAGGCTATTTAAATAACAATATATTCATGCTATCAAGTTCTATAAATATATGTGTTGATATGGGATGATCTCCAAGTTAAACTACTCACACAAAATTTCAGTTTGGAAAGAGCTCCTGCCTACATTATAGTTGTGAAGTTTTGTGCTACCAAGCAGAAGCATCATGAGAAACATCTTATGTATTTTTTGAATAAAAGATGGTATAAGAATAATGAATTGTACAAGTTAAATTATGTGACACATTAGTAGGACCAAAGTGCTATTAAATAAAAAAAATTAATTTAGTTATAAACTCCAATATTTTCAATTCTTTACATTTGTGCTCTACCTCTACCACAATACTTAATTAGTAATATGTTTTATCAATATAAATAATTACTGGTAATCTTCAAATTATAGAGTAAACTTTTTTGCATCACACAAATGCAATTATCTGTCTTCATTTACATGAGTATGTAGGAAATGGGAAATGTCTCTTAAATTCTTTGCATACATGAAATTGATATTGTATAATCTTTTGTTTTAAAAAAGGAAGAAATAGTTCATCTTAACCTGTGAGTAATTAAATTCCAGTGTACTCAGTGCAGGGATCCTGACATATTTAAAATGGCTTCAAGCAGGTAACTAGGTAAGTTTTTTCCATGAAATGCAAAAACATTTCCTTCATAAAAACATTTAAGTAAGATACAACACTACTGTGCCTGATTGGCTTTATATTTTGTGGTTAAGACATTCAGTAGCTATCACCACTTATCTAAAACAAAAGTGGTTGTAATGAATTCTGAAGCTGGGAATAAAGTGACAAATTCTTCAGTACAATGAGACACATCCTCTGTGATAGCCCTCAGTGTTATACCGTTTTTAGAGCTAATTAGAAACTGGTTCCAATATACATTTCTTTTCTTTGCGTTAAAAATGAGAACAGAGTCAGCTTTTTGAGCCCAAGCCAGATGCTGATTTTATAACCTTAGCAGTGTAGGCTAACTACTTACAGCTCAGGATCTGGGACTTTCAAAGTTATTTTTAGGACAAATCAGTTAATGAGCAGGTACAAACTTAAGCATAAATGAACAGCAGGGCAGAGGCAGCCAAATGTCAGAGAGGGACTCAGATGGTAGGACAAATTGTAATTATTCAATTCCGTTATGGACACCAGTGAAGGAAAATGAACCTTTGCCAACTGCTACCCAAAGAGTTTAGAATTTTCTATGCATAGAAAAAGAAAATACACAAAAAACCAAAACCACACAGTACATGTCAAAATTGCTTTTTCTTGTCTTTCAAGTAAACACAAAGTCAGTTCTCTCTTCATGCTAAGGCTTCCTTCACTAAATCCTATTATCTCTAATATTTGTATCATACACCCAGTGAATAACATATACCTATTTTGTACTAGTATATTTGTAATAACAAGACTTTGTGTACTCTTTCAGTATGTTATATTATATCCTAAGACATAATTAGTGTCATAATTTACTCAGTCTGTTTCTATCACTAGTAATATCAGGCTTTATTTTCACCATGAATTAATGGTCATTTTCAGGAAAATACATATAAATCAGCTAGTTTACATTGTGAAGATTACCACAGATTGCTAGCATCTAGAAAACAGATAAATCTAGGAACACAAAAGGGAAACTTGACCTTTAAGAATATGTTAGAGACTGAAACTTTCAATTACAAATTGGTTTGGTTTTTAATGTCGAATGCTAAGAAAGAGGAGCCAAGAATTAGGGATTCAGAAGCATCTTTTTTTGCAGAAAACATGATATTAACACAAAGCTTCTCCTAAAATATTTTACTTGAAGTTATCTCTATAAGTTAAAACCTTTCTGAAATTATGACCTTCACACACTTCACTTTCATGTCAAAGAGATTAGCTAACTGATCACAGATATTTTGGCTTCGTTTTCAAGTAAGTAGTACTTCTAGTAGCATAGGTACTTCAGGAAAATAGACTTGTTTTTAGCTATTTGAACAACAAATAGTAAAGTAGATGATATGGTTTTCCATTAAGAAAGTAATGATAATATTCCTGAAGTCTTATCTATAATTACATTATTCTTCATTGATCAAATCAGGAAAATAAAATTCTGCTAGGTACAACACTAATAAACTTTTATCTGGTGCTTTAAATCAAAGGAAATGTCAGTTTACTAGGGTTGTCCCTAGCAGTACTCTATCTTAAAATTGTTGATGACCACCAGGAAAGTTTTACCAAAAAACTTTCCAACTCAATTCTTTCACAAATACAAGCCTGGGTGATTATGATGGTGATGTTGGTCATGAGATGGTAACTGAATCAAACATTGTTCTAGTCAACAATATGTGAATCTACTTGTCTCTCAGTTACTTTTAAAATATTTCTAGTGGGCTATCAAATGAAATTGTAGAGGGATCAAGTATTTTCTCCCCACTATTAGATAGACCAATGACATCTCAAGTCAGCAAACAGCATCACAATTTAGATTTAGGATGGGCAATAAAATGAGGCAAATATCAAAATAATTTTAAGTCAGATCTAGCTGGGTCTACATCTAGCTGGCTGCTTGTGATTTCACAGGTTGTTGTCAGCATCTTTCTGTTTTTACCAAGCATGCTTAGCAACATTGCTATTCAAATCATTAATTGACGTGTTTTATGCCTAGTTATTTATTTATGGATACTATGTGACTATGTGAAACCCTGTCAACAGTTTGACCAATAGTCAGCAAGGTGGAAGGTTCATGAGTTATTTTATGACACAGTATTATAGTATGGAGGCATCATGCAGTCTCTTTTAGATAGAGTGATGAAATACATTTCCTAATCATAGAAGAATACTGCAAAATAACACCACACACACAGACACACAGAGACACACACAGACACACACACACCACTACTCTAACCTAAATGGGGATGTTTAACAGACCAGGTAATAAGCAAGGAACATACTCATACTGGATTCTAGAAAAATATGAAAGAAGTCAAAGATAATTTGAGTTTTTACTTGAGGAATGTGTGCCTTGAAGGGAAAGGCTGAAAATAAAAAGACAAACAAAAACAATTATCAGTGTGAGTTATCAAAAGCTGGAAAACACTTAAAAGGCACTGTCATTTGGGAAAAGATGACTTTCCAGCAGAACTAGCAGAAGAATAGGGAGTGGATGTGTAGTTTGCAGGGAGAGTATCTTCCTGGTTATAGCTAGGATCTGAGTTTTATTGCCAGTACCAGAAAACAAACATTAAGAACGGATACCTTAATAGAGGCAGCCATTATAGGTTTAAAGAGATATCTGGCACTATAGAAATGTCCAGAGATCTACAAGGTTGATCCTAACTAATACTTTAAGCAATAGTTGATAGGCTACCTTAAATGTCCTTCTCCAATAATGAAATTGATGACTATCTCATATGCCATCCTACAGCCTTCATCCAGTAGCTGATGAAAGCAGAAGCAGACACCCACAGCTAAACACTGAGTCAAACTCCTGGAATCCAGTTGCTGAGAGAGAGGAGTGATGAACAAAGGGGTCAAGACCAGACTGGAGAAACCCATAGAAACAGTTGATCTGAGCAAGGGTGAGATCATGGTTCCCAGACTGACAGCTTAAAAACCAGGGTAGGCCTGATCCAGAACCCCTGAACATGGATGTCAGTTAGGAGTCCTGGACAGTCTATGGGTCCCCTTGTAATGGAACAGCATTTTTACCTAGTGTAAAATTGGGACATTGGGAGCCCACTCCCCATACAGGGATACCCTCTCAGCCTAGACACATGGGGGAGAGCCTAGGCCCTTCCCCAGATGATGAGACAGACTTTGATGATCCCCTATAGAAGACCTCACCCTCTCTATGGAGCAGAAGAGGGATGGAATGGGGATCTGTGCGGGGTACGGGAGAATAGGAGGAGAGACAGGGAACTGTGATAGATATATAAAATAAGATTATTTCTAATTTATATAAAAATAAAAAAGAAATGCCCTTTATATAAATGATGGAAGAAACAGGAGAGTCGGTGAACGGCTGAAGTTCGGGAGCTGAATGATGCAAATGCCTTAGTGGTGAACATTTGAACTGAGGATGACTTGAGTAAAAGAGTGTTCCTCAGGCTTTCCATCTTGCAGGAAGGAACCAAATCAGAACCACACTTTTCACATCTTAACTAAAACTGAAAAGTAATCTGGCCAAGTTTGCAGCACAGACAACATTGAACTTACCGTGCTGAACTACTACTTTGGGCAGCATGACTCAGAGCTAGAAGACAATCCAGTCATGTGGTATCTCCGCAGAAACCGGAGATGCCCATACTGCAGTCAGTCCTGTGGGCTTTTCTGCCAATGCCGTGGTCAGCCCAGGAATGATCTGTTTGAGGCAAGGAGGAGGGCTGGCTCAACATGTCTCAGTAGCAATTGTTTTTTCCAAATTTTAGAGTCTGACACTAGTAAGTTTATTTAGGCATATTTAAATACAGTACAATCTGGAAAATAGTTTCATGGTGTAACACCATCCCACGCACACAATAAAACTTTAGGCATAGTGACATTGAAACTCATCAGAGTATTTGCCACCCCTTTTTGAAGATGGGTTATCTGAAGGGCCTTGGGGGAAGTGATGCGGCATTGTCTCAGTCATACAAATAGCACAAAGGTCACTAGTATATTACCTACCTTTGACTGGTTTGTAAGGGTCAGGATGGGGGCAGGTATGTCTTGGCTATTAACTACCTCCATGTCCAGCCTTCTGGGCAAAAAAGTTATTATATATATCTTCTTGTGAAGAGAAAACCCTGTGTGTTTAACATTCCTCTTTTCCCTAGTGCTTATCTGTGAACTCAAAGACCTTTGTGCTCCTAACAGATGTGTCGTTCCTTTTCTCTTTTAGGTCTGGGCCTCACTCTGTAAACTAGGCTGGCCTGGAATGTACATCCATACATATTTCTCAGCTCCCGGTTCTGGAATTATACACATGAATCACAATACACAACTTACAATGAATTTATAAGGGAAGAAGAGTCCTAAAGCAAAGTACGTTTTATGTTCCCATTGCACAATGGCAAGAGATATGCTGATATATGCTGATATATGCTGAAACAGACATACCACAGGAGCAACATTTCTCAATTATATAGTTAGATGTTAACAGAGGACAGTGGAAAGGAGCACTGGAAGGATTCCGGGACCACAAAATGACAGGATTATGAAGCACAGGGTAGATTAAGCAAACGCCTCATTTATTTGTATCATCAGGATAAGGAACCTTAAAAAACTGTTCTCAATTGACATCAGACAAGATATTTTCCAAATGAGGTTAAAGAAATTGTCTGCAGCTTTGTGTCTGGGTGCTGTCATAGCAGGATCCTTTGTTCATGGCCCTCTGGGTTAAGAAGATACATACCAGGCTTAACATCTGTCAGTCATCACACCAGGTCTCTAAATTGGGATGGAGTTTGGTATTCTATCTGTTAAGAATGGAGTTGACCGTGCATTAAAAGCATGCACAGTCAGTCTTCTCTAGCTATCGGTCTGTCTGTCTGTCTGTCTGTCTGTCTGTCTATATATTTATCTATCTATCTCTCTGTTTGTTATGTGTACATGTACATGTGTGTGCATGGAGAGTAGGACCTGGCATTGTTATTATTAGTGATGCTTTTCAAGTAATTTTTATCTAAATAATCTATATATGTGGTTTGACTGTTTTTTCTGGAATAGTGTTTTAGCTAGGCATTATGAATAGACTCTAGGAGATGTGAGTGGAACTGTTGGCAATTAATTGTTAATGTAAAATCATCCTGAGTCCTTTGAACAATAATTATGCAGGCTTCTCTCTTTTAATATTAGTCTACAAAAGACTGAAAGGAGTATAAACTCCAAAACCATGTAAAGGATACATGGAATGTATGTGAAAATTTTTTTTACTATTAAGCAATTAACATTTAGGAAATGTTTGTTACTGCAAACTAAACTCACCAGTTCTGAGTGATCCATGGTGGAATTAAAAAATGAAAAGTAGAGATGGAAAGAAGAATGTGTAATCAACTCATAAATGTTAGCTTCTAGGCCTAGTATTTAAGACAGATATCTTTCTTTGAAAACAGATCAATAAACTATTCAGACTTTCCTTAATACCTGTGTTTTTGAGGACTACTTGAGACCTATAATCAGATTCTGGGGTTTTTGAAACATACACCTTTCAGAGACCATGTCAAAGACCCTCTCATCCTGGCAGAAGGGGCTATGTCAAATCTCACCCAGTTGGGTACTGTATAGCTTATCCCAGGAGTTACTGCACTGGCCTCCTCTGTTAGCAAAGTGTTCACCCACTTTTTAATGCAGCAGGAGTTTGGACAGAAGTTTGCGTTCATTCTTCACTGAGATGGTTGACTGTGCATCATACAGATAATGGGGCCACTATTGTAAAGGCAGAGAACTTTCACCATTGCTACAGCACAATCGAAGCCCCAGAATTGCCTTTCTGAAGGGAAGGCAAATAGTTACTAAAATTATAAGGGAGAACCCTGTCCTACTATATCTATCTATCTATCTATCTATCTATCTATCTATCTATGTATCTATAGACAGTGTCTCACTATGTAGCTCTGGCTGGCTTTGATTCACAGAGATTTCCCTGCCTCTGCCTCCTAAGCAATGGAATTAAAGTCGTGTCCGACTACATCTGGTTTCACCTTTAGGCAGCAGTGATGAGAGTCAAAGTTCTTCATCAACAACACCCAAAAACTCTCTGCACCTGGCCTCCTTCCTTTAGCCTCTCAAATTCTCTTTAGGAATTTCAGAGATATCCGAGGAGTGATCTCTGTTATTGATTTTGAAACTACGCACTTCTATCTTCTACTTCTCAGTAGACTTTTTTTTATCTAATTTCACCTCTAAGTGAAATTTCTAGCATAATATATTCCCAGATAGTAATGATAATATCACTTCTATTTTGCTACCACTGTCACCAAGCATTTATAACTCACACATAAGGGCTAGTGAGACGGTTCAGTAATTGGGAAAACTGGTTGCACTTTCAAGATTCAATTTCTTGAATCCACATGGCTGCTCATATCTGCCCTTAATTCCAGTCCCAGTGGCTCTCATACCATGTTCAAACATGGTGCACAGGCATAGTCATAGGCAAATACACCTATCAATACATTTTTAATTAAACATTTTTCAAATTACACATGAGAATAATGCATATGGGTATGGAAAATTGCACACTTGCAACTTTTTCCCTAGAACAAAAGAAAAAAAACAGCATTTTGAAGACTCTAGAATTCAGGTTTGAGGGACTGTCAAAGGCACATAAAGATGAGCATTGAAAAATAATTCAGAGTTCACCCTGGAAAATGCTCTTGTTAAAAACACTGTCTAGGCTATCAAAAAAAGATTTGCATCATATTCTAAGAAATGCACATGATGACACACAAATTTAAGAATTGGTTAAAATAACCAACTTTTCTAAAAGTGACCTATTGTTCAATTTTCTGTGTAAGGGACAGATTTTTTGAGTTACATTGAAAATTTCAGATCTTTGTAAGAATTAAGCTATTAGAAATTGGCTTCCAATCTTTAGCTGCTATTTTCTATGTGTTTTCATCTTTTTATTCACACCATGAAATAATAAGATAGTGCTATTATCCTTAGACAGTCTGAATGTTTGTGCAGGCACACCCTGAGAGACTTACAAGGATCTACATTTTGGAAGTTGTGACTCTAAAGTATGCCAGTGATTTGTATTAGAATAAAAGAGACACAAGGACAAGGAGAATGGTGGAAAAAATATATTGCGAGGATTATTAGCCACAAAATCAGTATAATAATCAGCACTGGAATCCAAAACCCTGACAAAGAATAGGGATATTTCAAATAGTCAACTGTGCCTGGCTTTAGTAATAACATATTTACCTAGTATCCATCATATCAGATCTACAAAAAGAATAGCAATAAAAATAGCATTATTTTTTCTTTATAGTTATACAAGGAGTTGACAGAGCAATTTGGTGGTACTGCCTATTTACAGTTTCTTCTTTCAAGAAAAATGTGTTTGGAAATGCAATGTGTGCCCCTGAACAAATTTTTCAAAATAGTTCCAAACAAAACAATAAATACTGTCTGCCATTACTGCTTACAATCTTTTTACAAGGAACGTAGATAGGAGAAGAAACTGAAGATAAAATGGCACCCGAATTAGAAAATGTATACAAATTCCCCCTCAAAAATTTATTTTCAAAGAATGCTATAGGTGCCACATACCTGTGTTTGCACACATCTGGATATAGGGATTCACTGTTCATTGCAGCAATCCTTTAAAAATCAGCAAAAACAGAGCCATTTGATCTATTGAAAAGAATCATACCTGGTGGTAATTAGAAAAGTATGTTAACATAAACTCCAGCGACAGTAGATGATCAATAATATAGGAACACAAAATAAAAGGAGTTTACACATGTATTCAATATATAGATATGAGAGACTTCTATGCATTTCTGCTATTGGAATTGAGAGTTTAGCCGCAAACAAAACACAACCACTTCTTTGCTGGTTGTGCTTTCAGAAGACTATGGAGAGAGCAAGTACTGTAAATATAGAAATTATGCTTGTCATTTCAGAGCAGTCCTAAGAGTATGACTGCTTCTTCCTATGTAAAGCCTCCTCCATTCCCTATGTTTTCTACCCAAGATGTTCATTTGGTACAAATAACATGTGAATATTGATATATCATCATGCAAAATCCATATTTTATATCAAAGTCACTCTGAGGGTTTTGCTGTCTACAAAAATAGACTAATGATCAGTCAGGTATATACAATACACCATAAAGGCTACTTTACATCCCTGAAAATTGTGTGTTATACTTATATATTGTACCATAACTCCTGTAGTAATTTATCTTTCTGTTGTCTTCTGAATTTTAGACATTTTCAGCAATATATATTTGGGTCCCACAGCTGGTCTTATTTAAAATACTAATATGCCCTTATTTTTTCTCCATATATTCTCATGGCCTGATGGCTGTTTTCTTATCACTACTGTGTGGTAGCTCCTATGTAAGTAATTGATTTATCCACTCATCTATTGTAGGGCACTTTAGTGGATTACATCTTGGGCACTTATGAATAAAACTGTTATGGGCGAATATATCTATGAAATGGTCATTCACCGAAGACTCAAACAAAGTTGGAGAAGCAGGGGTAAAAATATTTTAAAAGGATCTCACAATTTGCTATTAGAATGAGTTTCCAGAAACTTCATAAATTGCATGCACAGAGTCTTACCAACATGACTGCCCTAATGAGACCTAAACAGGGTTGATACCCACAGAGATGCCAACATGTTCAGGAAAAGTGCAGATCTTCTTCACAGGTTCAGTAGCCAATTGATGAAAGTTGGGCAGTGGAGAGGTGGTCCTCGCCTGGGAAGAGCTCACCAATTGGGTGTCCATGGCCAAATGGTCAGCTCTGAAAACTCAGAGTTAAACTGTATTATGCTGACTGAACAACTTACACTTAGGAAAATATAGGAATATACATATGCATCCATGCATGCCTTAACAATTAATGGAAAAAGGCCATAAATTTGGAGAGTGGGGAAGAATTATGGGAGTCATGGCAAGTAGTAAGGGGAATAGAGAAATTTAATTATATTGTAATCTCAGGAAAAACCCAAACTGCTGTAGGTACATGTTTTTATGAACATAAGTATTAAATTCCTTTGGGAAAATACTAAATAGTATAATTGCTTTTTTACTTGTTTAATATATATCTATTTTTAAATAAAACTGCCAAGATGTCTGCCCACGTAACACTACAATTTAGACTCCCATCAGTAATGGAGGAGAGTTTTATTCCCTCATGCTCTTAAGAGTACTGGATGCTGTATGTGTACTAGATTTTATGTGTTAGTTGATGAAATATCTGTTAAGGTTTTTGGTTCATTTTCTAATTTGAAATTGGTTCTCTTATTGAGTCCTGTGGGTTATTTGTATGTCTCATAAGAGTTTGTTATCAGATTTATCCTTCCTGAATATTTCACCCCAGATTATGACCTGTTTTTCATTTCTTCACAGTCTATTTCACAGGGAAGAAAATTATTTTTAAGTAAGTGTAATTTGTTCATGCTTTCTTTAATCAGGATTTGGGTGTTGCACAAACTTGTAAGTAACATTTTCTACTAGGCTATTACCTAGAAGTGTTACAGTGGTAAATTTAAATCTACAACAATCTGTGGCTGAATTTATTTTCCCATGCTATATTTAGCATTTTTGATAATTTTAAGATGTGGATTCCCAAATCTCTAAACTTATTTGTAGAATATCTATATTTATTACATTTTCACTGCTCCTTGGTTAAAAGTTCTGGGACTATTAATTCACACACATTTCTGAGCTTATTGTAACGATACTTTATATATTGTTTTGCAATGTCACATTGATGAATGTGGTGACCATAGGTTTTATTAAGACTTCATTCTGAGTACTACATGCTTTCAGCTGTGTTTTTCTTTACTAACATGCTAAGTGTCTAGAGCTTTAACTTCTCCATGTGAACCATAAACTTGATTTGCATATGATCACAGAAATCATAATTCTCTGTCTTCACCTTTTTGCCTCTACCTTTTTTGACAGCAGTGGTTGATTCTGCAACATCACTTTTACATGGGTAAAACAGGGATTATCACTTTTGAGATGGTTGGATTCTTTTTATCACTTTAAGCTTCTGAGAAGCCCATGGGTCAATAAATCACCTTTAAGACAGTGGTTATAAACAGAAAAATGGCAAAAGCTTCTCATTATCTAGTGATGTGAATATATCTGAGGAGGGGATACTTGAATTCCTGCAGATTTGGAAGGACAGGATATTTCTTTTTTTTTTAATTTTTTAATTTTATTTTATTTTCCAGTTTAAATTTAGATAAGAAACAAGGTTGCTTCACAAGTCAGTTCCAGGTCCCTCTTGCTTTCCCTCCCCTCCTCCCGTGCCCTCCCCCCAACCCCCCCCCCGTTATCCCCTCATTCTCCCAGGGAGGGTGAGGCCCTCCATGGGGGTGTCCATAGTCTGTCATTTCATATAGGGCAGGGCCTAGATCCTTCCCCAAGAGTTCAGGGTGAGAGTGCACCTCACATTGTTCTATGGGAGTCCAAAGTCCGTGTGTATACTTGGGATGGGTACTAATCTGCTGCCCAAGGCTCAATAGATTACCTAGGCCTCCTCACTGACACCCAGATTCAGGGGGTCTAGGACAGGATATTTCTAACAGTAAAAATAACAAGGGAGGAGGGCCACAGGGCAGCAGAACCCAAGTGAGAAAGGAGAGAATAGCAGATATTGAGACAAGAGGCAAGGGTCAGAGGTGCACATGCATAGATACTCCTAAACACTTTGTGTTTTGTTCCATTTTGCTTTAAAATAGTATTTTCTCTTGAAAATTTTATACATCAGGATGTATTTGCATCAATTCCACCTCTCCCACTGCCTGCCTCAGTGCTCACCCACACCCTATTATATTCAAGACTTCTGTAGCTATTAATGTGACACACACACACATACACACACATTCATTTACTTTTTTTCATATGTGTATGTTCATAGTTTTAAGATTGATCACTTGGGGGTGGATTACCTATTGTCCCAGGAGAAAATCAATTCTTCCTCCCATAGTAACTATTGAGAGCCTATAGTTTTTCACCTAGGGTTAAAGCCTTGTGAACTTCACCCCATACATGTTGGCATGTTGAGTGGGGCATCATTATGTAGGTATTGTCTAGAAATCATGTTTCTGAGATATCTTGAATGTAGCTTCCTTATTATGTCTACAGGGTACATTCTGTAACATGGATCATGGTTCATTAGCTCTTACCAGCCTTCCCATCTCCTCTTCTGCAATGTTCCTTTAGCTTAAAAATAGAAGAGTTGTGTTATTGATACACCACTTTAGGATAGGTAACCCAAGGTCACTAACACTACATTAACCAACAACTATCTATTTGGAGTGAAGGCTCATTCAATATGAGAGACCTCCTGCCTGGTACTATAAACCTACCTAACTACTTGTGTCAGAGGACATTGTAGACAGGCTCTAAAGCAGAACTTACTAATAGCATATCTCAAAATCACTATATAGTGTAATTATATACTAACGAACCTCTTTTACACTCAAGTTTACAGAAAAATTCTAAAGCATTTTATTTGGTGGGGAAAGACAAGATATTAAGCAGAGACACAATGTGAACTTTGCTAGAACATTCATCCCGTGACTGATGGAAACAGACACAGATACTCACAACTAAACACTGAACTGACCTGCAGGCCAGTGACAGAGATGGAGGAGTGATGAGCAAAGGGGTCAAGACCATGCTGGTGAACCCCACAAAGACAGATGACTGGACAAGGGGGGAGCTCTTGAATCCCAGACTGATTGCTAAGAGGCCAACAGGGGACTGATCCAAACTCCATGAATGTAGTGTCAGTGAGGAGGCCTCAGAAATCTCTGGGGCCTTGGGTAGTAGATTATTGTTCACCATAGTGTATGCATGAACTTTAGACCCATTCCACATGGAGGGATGCTCTCTCAGCCTGCACACATGGGGAAGGGCCTAGGTCCTGCCCTTGATGAAATGACAGACTCCGGAGATCCCCCCAAGGAGGGCCTCACCCTCCCTGGGGAAAGATGTGGGGATTGGGCTAGGGGTGGAGCGTGGGGGTGGAGCTGGGAGGGAGAAGGGGGGAGCTGGGATTAACATTTGAAGCATGCATGTTTCTAATTTAAATAAAAAAAGAAAAACAGATTTGCTGTACACTGAGTGACAGCAAAATTTCTGTAGTCACGCTTCCAAAGGTATGAATCTAATACTGAGATATCAATGAGGATAGTTCCTTCTGAGTTCCGACAGTTAAATCTGTAGTATGCCACATACCCTAGCCCCTGGAATCCTCAAATATTCTTTTTTCTCACTGCTTCTGCCTTACCTGTATCTCCATGTCTTTTTCCTTCTGCCTGTGCCTGTCTCCATGTACAGATTCCTATTTTATGTAAATATTGCAATTCCAGACCTTATTGAAACTTCAAAGATTGTTTTATGCCATTTACATATTATTCTTCTAGGTTCTTGAAAGAAAACATATGACTATTTTTTTCTTAAAAAATCTTCACACATAAAATTCATAATTATCATATGTAAGACTGTCCTCCATTCATTGCTAAAGACAATATAAAAGTCTGCTACAGTCATCTGAAAGAACTATGGTAGCTTAAAGTCTTTGATGCTAGCCAGCACAGTGATGAAATATGAACAATACTTTGAATGTATTTCAAGGGAAGTATATTACACGGGTGTTTTTTCGGAGCAAAAGAACCGGTTTGGAGAAAAGACACACACACACACACACACACACACACACACACACACACACACAGAGACATATAGAGCGACAAAAACAGAAAAATATAGACACAGAGAAACAAAGAAAATAGAATACATAAATATATAAGAATTTGTATGTAAATCTGTTCATTTAACATATAAATGCATATATATATTTGCATTCACACATATAGGTAGACAAATAGGGATATTTCTAGATCTATCCCTAAAAATACAAATGTAAATTTACCAGCCATAAATATACATATTTATTTATTTGTATATCTAAATATTTTGTCAAAAAGTGTAAAATGTGTTCTTATGTTAACATGGATGTATTTTGCTAGCTACAAAACCAGAGAAGCTTGGTCATAATCTCTTATGATACTGAAAGCCTCAAAAACAGATGAGTTCCTGTGTTAACTCCAAACCTGAGCTCCACACTGAAGGGCCAGTGGTATAAGTCATGGAGATGAGAGGTCAGAGAACATGCAGCTTCAGCATTAGAGTAGGAAGAGATGAGTGTCAGGAAAAGGTTAACTCACCATCCCTCCTCTTGTGTGGCTCTCTTTGGATCCACATTGGGTCTGTGCTGAAAGTAGAAAATTCTTTACAACTCACCAATATAAATGCTCATCTCTACTAAAAACACTCAAAAACGCAGCAGTAAAAACCATTTACCAGTTATCTCAGCAAGCTCAGGCCAGTCAAGTTGATATGTGAGCTAACTATCACACCATGTGAACAAATGTGAATAAATTGTGAATATGAGTTTAAACAACATAGGTAAGGACAAAATTCTTAAGCACAGTAAGGTGCTAACATTTCCAAGGTAAAGGAATCTGTGAGAAAGTAGATTCCAGGGAAGAATTGATAATGGAAGTCTAGAATCTCAGCCTTGCATGAGTTTCAAAATTCCCATTAACAACTGCAAGCAGGTGTCTTAGATGTACACACTTAGACAATAGTCTAACTGCTAGCAAAGATCTGAGAATCATCATTGTATAAACAGCATTTAAGGACATATGACCTGTAAAAAAGCTAGAATAGGCTTAATAATGCCCAGAAAAGTATGTTTCAAATGTCTTAACTTTTGGAACTGATTTCAGGTAATGATTTCAGGTCAGGAAAATGAGTCACATAAAGCAAAGCTGACTGAGAAGGAGTAGCCATAAATGCCAAAGAAAGCCCAGATTTGGAGATTCGGAAGGAAAATGCCACTGTGTTTCTGCAAGAAACTTCTAGCACACACTTTGAATAGGTCAGGACAAAAGAATACTGAGAATAGGCCATTGGGTTTAAGTAATATTGAGTCATAATGAGACAGATGCAAACTTACGAGTAACTTGTCCTTCAAACTACAACTTGACAGTTCAATGACTATTTGAGATGTCTTAAACAATAGCGACATAACATTTAAAGCTGGTATATTTTATTGAAGAGTTTATGCCATTTAAATATTAAACAATGACTTTGAACGGCGCTGCACCCCCAGAGTAGAGTTAGATAAGAAGGAAGGACATAGTTTGGCTATTTTTGGAAAGAGCTATGTAGCTGAGGTACTCTCTAAGACATTGGTATTCTTTGCATAGCTGAAAATGAAACCACTCTGAAGTTTATGTGGGCTCAGTAGATGATTCAGTTTGTGAAGACCTTTGGCACCAAGCTCTGAGTTCCGTCTCTAACACCCACATAGCTGAAAAGGAAAACAAGCTCCCACTTACAGTCCTTTCACCACTCCACCACATGTGTCATGGCATAAGTCTGTTCTTGTGCTCAAACACACCCACATACTACACAATTAAGTAACTAACTAATGTAATAACTTTTAAGTTTATCTGTATGAAAAAGGATCAGTTTCCAGTGTGACAGTGCTAATGATCCCACTGCAAAGTCATTTTTTGTTTCTTTTGTTTGTTTTTGGTGTGTGTGTGTGTGTGTGTGTGTGTGTATGCACTAGCTTTTGAGGCAGGGTCTCTCCATGTCATGTTAGATGGCCTTGAATTCATGGCCCTACAAGCCTAACATTCTTACACACTCATGAATACTTATGCCCATGTGTGAAAATCATTATTATTATTTTTCTTGTCATTGTTGTTATTATGTGCTTTTTTTTGAGATGGGGTTTCTTGGTGTAACAGTTCTGGCAGTCCTGGAACTCACTATGTAGACCTGGCTGGTCTCAAACTAACAGAGCCTGCCTCTGCTTACCAAGTGCCAGGATTAAAGGCATGTGCTACAACTCACTGGTTGTAAAATTTATTCTTAAAATCATGTTTTTAAAGTCTCTCAAAGTGTTATGGGGGCATATCAAAAATGAGAAAGCATATGTCAGTAAAATATGCCGGGATGTGGTCAGACAGGTGAGAAGACTGACCTGAAACCACGTGCTTTCCTCCTGCCCTTCTCACTCAGCCAGGCAGAGGAATCATCTCCACAGGGTAACAGCAGCCAAGCTTGCACTTCCTCTCACGCCCAGTTAGAAGCTCTCATCCTAGGAGAAGAAAAATTCTCAATTCTCTCAACATTCCCCAAGTTCTGTACTACAGAAACTAACTCCTGGGACCCCGTGCTGAGTTACAGTATGTTTGAATGCTTTGCTTATAAAAGCAAACGACTTCTTTAAAGGGCTCAGAAAAGCAGTGTTTCCTTTTTGCTCAGTTCTTCCAAATATAAAATGCTATATACTCATAATGGGATTGATGAGTAATAATGGCTTAGCTAGACAATTGTGGAAATGGAATTCTAGAATTCTAATAACAATCTATTTTCAATTTAAAAGCAAATAAAGTAAACTAACAACTGGATTAAAGGGAGTTACTCATGATTTCAAAAGGAAGAAATACAAAAGGCTGAAATGGCCGACAGTTATTTTGGAAAGTTACCATCCTTAGCCCTCACAGAAATGAAAATTAAAACATCTATGAAATCTAAGACATTGTCTTAGACAAGGTACACAAAGGAACAAATATTGGAAAAGATGTAAGGAATAAAACCCTCATACACTTTTGGTGCAAGAGGCAAATTATTACTGCCAATGGGTAGCCATTCCTCAGAAACCTTTAAAAATGACTACATAACTACATAACCCATCTGTAGCTCTCCTGAGCATGTAACTAAGGCACTCTATTTCTTATAATAGCAACACACATTCATCCACATTCTTAGCTGGTATATTCATAATAACTAGGACATGGTTATAGCCTAGATATAGGCTGATGAATGGATAATGAAAAGGTAATACGTCTATACGATAGAAGTAAAGAAAAGTAAAATTGGAAAATCTGAAAGTAAATGGACAGTACAGAAAAATATTATAGTATTGGGTTAACCCAGACACAGAAAGACAAACATCACATGGTCTTACTCATATGTATGTCTGAGAGCTGAATATTTAGGTATGTGGTTTAGCTGGAAGAAATTGCATAATCCATCAAAGCAGGAAAGGACTTTTTTGCAGTGAGGGAAAGTGAAGATGCTAAGGAAGGGGGATAGTAGAAATGAAGGGGAAAGGGGGAATGATGGAGATGGAGGCTTACGTGGGATAAGGAATGGGTAGATAGTGTAAAGGAACCATTGGGAAGAAATAATCAATATTGAGGTCATTTGGAAGAGCCATAGATAAATCTAGAATTTTAGAAAGTTTATATATTGTATGCATGCATATGTTTACACAGCTTTAAGTGGGATGACCCTACACAGGGGAAATAATGTTTCACCAAGATGCCATGACTTAAAAAAAACAGTAACAGGTGAGTAATAGCTTCTTTGAAGGTTTTGGTGAAAGATGTCGTAGAGATTCCCAAACAACACCAGCTATTGACATAGCTCTTGGTTGTCCATGAGAACTTGATGGTAAGATCATATAACGAAAGGATATAAAAGTCAGAGACCAGAACAGCAGCAAAACAGTGTCTTCAAGACATGATAAGATTGCTGCACTCATGAACTCAAAGCATCCTGGTTGCCGGCACAAAAACCTGTACTAGTTCAAGCTAGTTATGTTCCAACATGGACCGGAGTGGGGGCACATGAGCTCCCACCTCTAGCTTGGGAGATAGTTGATGACTGCTGGAGAAGGAAATACTAGCTTACCTTAAGTACTCGATCCCTCTTAGATTAATCATGCTTCAGGGGGTGTCACAAACTTATGAATTATGAGTAGCACAAATAGGTCTCATTTGGCTAAAATTGTCAAAAGGGGACTGGAAGTTAGCTATTTGGGGATGTGGATTATAAATACAGGGAGGATTATAAAGAGGAGTAGGTTAATGTTATCAAAACACATGGCATGTGGTTGTCAATAAATTAATAAAATACTTATAAATGTATACATGAACAAACATAAATACATGAATACCATTTTCTTGAAATATAGTGAGCCTTTCCAATTTATATAAACTAGTAAGAATTCTCTCAATTGTCTGTTACTAATCCTGTTTCAGGAGACATATTGCTGTCTCCAATTTGCTTTGTTTGTATATATACAGTGAAACTGACATTGCATGAGTTGATCCAGATACACCAATTACTTCACATCAATGGGTCATTTAAAGGGGTTCCTCTGTCCTCAAACACAGAGAGCAGACAACACAGCTTGACATGTGGACTTTCATTTTGGTCTGTCCAGTGTGATTTGTGACCTGTCCTTCTTAAGGCACTTGGGAGAGAAGAGTGACAACTTTACAGCCTCCCTATCACTCTTCAAGAAGACACAATTTGCTGGGTTTTCTACCTTTATGTCCTAGTAACTGGACTGTCCCGGAGAAAGTGTCAATAGTCTCTAACAGTATGGAAACAACCCTCCCTGAACAATAATTCCTCCTAAAAATGACATTCTGTAATATGATTTTGAAAATTTCAGATGTTTCCAAAGTGGAATAATCAATTTCTAACTAGAATTATTTCCATTTTGTTCTGATTAATATTAAGTTTTCTGTATGTCTCTGCAGAAATGTCAGTATAGAGGAAAGAAGATGAAAATTTATTTAGTTTAGAATATTTGCCTATCTGTTATATCTATTCATAGTATACTTTATCAAATTTTAATTTTTCTTAATAATAGATAAATGGTCATTTTAAAATATCTTGTACATAGACCTAAAATATGTATTTAATAATTATTTATATAAAGATAAATGATCCTTAATGAGTTCTGTTTTAGGGTTTCTATAGCTGTGAAGTGACAACATAACCATGGCAATTCTTATATAGGATAATTTTAATTGAAACTAGTTTACAGTTTCAGAGTTTCATCCATTGTCATCATCATGAGACATGGTGGAATACAGGCAGACATGGTGCTGGAGAAGGAGCTGAGAGTTCTACATGCAAATCCTCAAGCAGCAGAAGCAACTGTGTATCACACTAAACAAAGGACATATCAAAGGCCACCTCCACAGTGACACACTTCCTCCAACAAAACCACACCTATTCCACTTCCTATGGTGGTCATTTTCATTCTAATTACCTCAAGTTCCCAAAAATCTGTACCGTTCTAATTACTATATTTAAGTTCATATATTAAGTTTTCCATGTAGAATTAATATTATTTGAATAATCTTACTTTATTAAGAAAATGTATCATGAAAATGTATTTATTCTGAAATATGTATTTCTATTTCTACAGATTAGTGCATACAATAGACTTTGAGTTCGTGTTGATTTTCTGAAGAACCTGAAATATTACCTGATGATAAATGAATTTACCCAGTACTGACATTCCACCTTTACTAAATCTGGGAAATTAACCATGATGTGAGCCCTTTATTCCTGTTTCATGGAAGGGCTAAGATTTTTCTTCCATCATAGCAATGTAGCTACAGTAGAGCATGAGGCTGCCTGACTGCTGAAATAGTTTATGCTCTCAAACATTTACACTTTCAACTTCAGCGTCATTTTAAGATAGAAGAAGTTGAAGTTTTTAAAAGTATATTTATGTAAGTGTGGATGTAAGTGTACACATATGCACATACATACATGCAAATACCTTCAAATGCCAGAGCAGGCATCAGATTCCCTGAAGCTGGAACTCAGAAGATCCTGGGCCAGTGGATATGGGTATTGAACACCAAATATCAAGACTGCATAGACACTCATAACCATTGAGCCGTCCCTCCTTTCCCCAAATTTGAAGCAATGAAGAGGTCATGAGAGTGGAGCCTTCATGTTCCCACACATAAGGATCAGGTCACTATGTGACTCACATCTTTTGGAACATTCACCTTTAAGGTGCCATCACCTTAGAAGCATAAAGCAGCCTCACCTCACCAAGGAGCACAGCTACTGGTTGTTATTAGTGTGCTTTTTAGTCCTCAAAATATGAGAAATTCCTCATGATAAAGTACACAATCTCAGATATTTGGCATAGCTTTGCCAGTGAACTGAGATAGTAGCATCTTGGAAAGAACATCTAATGAAATTGTGTGAACAGCATTTTCCTGGTTGAAAGGTGGATGAGTTCAGTGACAGTATGAGGTAAAACTGACGGAATGTCAATATACCTCTGGCTGTGTAGATGCACATCTGTAGAGTACCCCTGTAGGTAGTGAAGATCTCGGCCCACAATGAGATTCACCCTAAAGTCTAGACATTCAACCTGGAACTGCCAAGAGAATACAATGTACAGATCTTTTCTACGGGAACTATATGTTGTGATATTTACTATTAAAAATTGACCATGTCTATGCCATTTAGGAAAAAAAAACGTTGAGTGAAATAACAAACAAAAGTTCTTGACCTCATTTTAAGGTATATAGAGCAAGTGGCCTATCTCTGTAAATTATATAGCTTGGTATCAAAGATAAGGCTTTGGTTCGGGAGCTAGGGATACAAACAGGTTTGGTATAAATATATTCATTCTGACCCTAGTAATGCATGTATATTTCTAAGTAATTGATGAACTCACTAAATATACACACAGAACAACATTTATTAGATATCTAAGTATCTAATGTCTAAACATTTCAGTACAATAGCAAAATATCAAAGTGTAGATCTAATAGCAAAATCAGAATCAAGCTGCCAAAACTAGGTTCTTGCAGCTTGAGGAAAGAAGACACCTGCATTTCTGAATTCCTGGTTACAAAAGGTTAAAGTCTGTGTTTCAGACTGCAAGACTACTAAACCGCTCGACACAGTCACTATTGTATGAGAAAAGTTAAACAGGTCTGATGTATTTTAGAAAGCAAGGGCTATGTTTTGTTTTAACAAGGCTTTTTCCCCCCTCACAGTGGAGCCTAATTTGCAACTTCCTAGGGACTACAGCTATTTCAGATATAATTTGCTACCTAATATTTTTTTTACACTTACAGTGTAAGATCCGGAATTTTATGTTCTACTTAAAAAATAATGGAGGGACCTTATGGTACTACATTCTGCTTTTATAAAGTCCAGCTTCAGATTGGTTTTCTGTAAGATAAATTCACATGTACAGTCTAGAAGAGTGGAGACTGGAGTGCTTTTACTTAACTGAATAAATTTCTTTGGCATGCAAAGAAACGTGAATAGCAAACATTCAAACACATAGACTAAAATTAGGGAACTTGTTATGGTACAGAATGTGATTATTTTTCTGATGACTTCATCAGTGCTGTGACATGTAATGAGATAATCTACAATAACAATAGTTTCTTTTTAGTGCGTTCATTTGTTTT